CATGCCCTGTCCACCATACCCCTGACATGCCCTGTCCACCATACCCCTGACATGCCATGCCCTGTCCACCATACCCCTGCTGTGCCCTACTCTCCACCATACTCCTGCCATTACTTGACATTATTGGTGACATTATTATTGGTAGGATTTACGAGATATTCCTGAAAATGTTAAGGTAGGTTGTTCTAAGTTTCACATTACATTTGTATCAACGAATATTCATGTAATGCACATTCAAATAATTAGTGTTGATGTCACCTGAGAAGGTTTATGCTTGCACTTTTAATATATACTTATAAAAAAACATTCCCTCAAGTCCCAATAATGACTTAGCATACAGAGTGCAGCAGTGCCAAGCCAATGAATCACATTTTATTGGCAAAGTAAACACAAATACATGATTTTTTAATAAGTTCAACCAGAAGTAGAAAAAATTTTAAACACTTTTTTCTAGTTGAGTCTTGGAGCACAATGATTGAGAAATGCATTTTGCAACAACAAACACTATCCTAATTAGCATAATCAAAATATATAGCTAGGCCCAGGACCTTTGTCCATTAAGGAAATTATTTCTCTTTCAGAGAAGTACATTTATGTTTAAATGCTTATTGCTATGGTTATGCTTATCGAGCTAATCATTGTGGAAACCAGGTTTAAAGAGAATGACCCTAATTACTATTTGTTATTGTGTTTTTGGTCCCAACAGGCCCGTCTTGAAGTYGTTCTTGTGAATCGCGTAGAGGAAGCCATACAAGCTGCTTTTGAAGATGGGAGTCCCTTTGTAAGACTATCAAACACCATTGGCAGCAGCAAGCTATAGAAATGAAACAAAGAATATAATATTTGGAATATGAGGGGGTGTCACATGTCAGAAGACTTTGAAAGGAGTTACACTACAAAAATATATTTTACACAGGTTACCATTGGCACATAAGATAACATGGTCAATGGTTGCATGGTCAATAGGGTATTTTACTATATTATCTATCATATGAATATTGTAAATAACACTAGATTGAATTTGATTTATATAAAATGAAATCACTAAATCTTGCTTTTACTTCTCTACTGAAATATGGGAATGACCTTCAAAACATATAGTACATAAGTACAGGGGGGTGTACTCCCCTTTGCTATACGGGTATATGCCGCTCAATAGGGTCCCTTTTTCAGAGCTCCAAGTCTGTGATAGGATATCATTTGTTGCCCATTTGTCTGGGATAGGGTAGTCTTTGTCTGGGATAGGGTAGTCTTTTTGTCTGGGATAGGGTAGTAGTTTTGTCTGGGATAGGGTAGTAGCTTTGTCTGGGATAGGGTAGTCTTTGTCTGGGATAGGGTAGTCTTTGTCTGGGATAGGGTAGATTTTTTTTAGGAGAGGGTATAGTCTTGTTGTCTGGGATAGGGTAGTAGTTTTGTCTGGGATAGGGTAGTAGCTTTGTCTGGGATAGGGTAGTACTTTTGTCTGGGATAGGGTAGTTTTTTGTCTGGGATAGGGTTTAGTCTCATTGTCTGGTGTAGGGTGGAGTTTTGCCTGTGATCGTATCTGCTAGGCCACACTTTCAGCGCTAAAATAATGTACCTTTGTACATTTAGTCTGGGGTAGGGTATGTAAAATTACAAAAATTGGACTGGGATAGGGTAGGGGTTTTGAGAGTCGTGTGGCACACCCCCATCCCCAGGATCATTTTTTGACATTTTGTCTAGGAGGGTATGGTTTTTGTCTGGAATAGGGTTACAAATGGTCGTTTTTCTGAATAAGGCGAGGTAAGTTTTGGTTGGTTTTAGTCTGTTGACACACAAATAGCTTAAACTAAACTCTGTTTAAAAGTTGGCAAAATAGGGGGTACAATGCGTAGGTCTAGTCTGTGGTAGGGTGTGAAGAGTAGAAAGTTTAGGGCTGAGATAGGGTCAAGAGTTTTTTAGGTCCTTGTGGCTGACCCCTATGCCCCCCCACCCCCTGCTGCCAGACCTGAACAGACACAGAGCAGATTGAGGGATGTTAATTTTATGACATGCCTAACATATTATGATTAGTGTTTATTTATGCATCATTCAGTTCAAACCTGCTCTCCAGGGGCCTGGGGAATTGAACACATGCAGTTTAACTGTATCAATCCACAAAAAAATCAAATGAAATCGACTGAGCCTCCTTATTTTAATATATTATAATCATTATCATCAGTACATTGTGATTAATAATCCAAAAAACAGACCGTGCTACATCCCTGCACTGTAATCAGGCAAATAGAAAGCTTAATTTTTTATGGAATTTTACCTTTTATAAATGAATAAAGTACAAAAAAATAAAGAAAAAGAGGGGGGCGCTGTTTGTTGTTTGGCACCTCGATACACGGAGTCCTTTGGGCTTCCTGCACCGGAAGTTCGTCATGTTTTGTTGTGGCTCGCAAGGGGTTGTGGGTCAAGGTGTGAAATCCCGCGAAGTGTTGAGAAACAGCAAGCGCATTTGTTGGCTGCACACGTGCAAAACTCTTAAAGTAAAACGTTTTACTGCCTTTTTACAGTCCGTTTTTGGGTAATACTACTGAATGGTAAGTGTTATAATTGATGAAGCCTCTTAAAGCATGAATGATATGTTTTATTTGTACGATTTTTGCTGTGAAAAAATTGAAATGTCAGATGTTTACTTTTAATGCTCGGTTCAGTTTCGCAAAATCTTTATCTTGTGTAGTTGACGCTTGGATTACCAGTCAAAACGTTCTTTATCGCGGAGAAACGACAGTTTTTGTGTAAGAATTTCAATGATGTAAATGATAACCAAAGCCCATCCGCTGTAATATGGTATCTTGACGATGACCTCGGGCCGCCCTACTTTTAATGTTTTGACTTAACTTATGTTAAGAATAATTTGACTTAAGGACAACTAACGCTCGACGCAAAAGAGCAAGTAAGGACAGTAAGGTCGTTATTGTGTCTTTGTGGTGTGATGTTTTTCCAAAGTCACAGCTTGTGGCCACAGTTTCTTTGAGAAGAAGATGTCGGGTCCTGCGGTTGGATGACCAACAAATGGACACCCGCCGTTATATGAAAAATTCATGGTGAAGTGTGAGCTTAATTGTAGTTTTTTATAAGGCTTACAAGGTATAAAAAATAACAGCTGCCATTCACCTGCTAGTCTTTTTGTCGTCCATGAGAATTCCTCAAGGAAAAAACAACATTGTAACATCTCTACTCCATGCATAGTCAAACGATCACAAAAGCTACTTGATGATTAAAGATATTTTATTTGTAGAGAGTAAATTCACAGTTTCTTGTATTGTAGATAGAGTATGCTAATAAAGGCTTGTTTTTGTGGCATAGATTCAGTATGATGCATGTTACACCTAGAAGACCTGGTCTGCGAAAGCCGACAATACCAAGCCACAAGCCTCCCCCAAGCACAGACATACAAACAAACGTCAACCATGGCTTACAAAAGAAGCTAATGATGCTAGATCAGCATGATGAAGCTTTGAAAAATGAAATTGTGGCTTCATTGGAGGAGGGATTGATTACTGCCAGTGAATGTTTGCAGTTATTTATTAATACAGCATGGAAAGACAGGAATAACAAGCCACATATTGCTGAGTTGTTTCATAAAATCACCCAAGAAACTGATGCAGATTTTTCTTTACTAATTGACAGTAAATGCAATAATTTGCTCAAAGTGTTAACTGTGCTTGGTAAACCAACTATCAGTGATCTATCAATGGTAACTTTACTTGCTAACTTGTATCATATCAAAGATCTGCCAAGTGATCACAAAGATGGTTTGGAGATGTATCTTATTGATATTGCCAAGGCATTTTGGCCATACTTTATGCCTGAAAAGAACTCTAGCATCTGGAATGATGATGTTTGTGATTGTGTATGTGATGTTCTTATGACTGTTGGCCGGACACTAAATGAGAAGTGTCCAATAAACATGGAACGTTCCTTCAATAATATAACCATCATGATGTTTTCATCATGTACTATATCAAGCTACACTCTCTTAAGATTCTTAGAGTTAAAGGAATTAAGGGCAGCCAACTGGTGTTTGACAAACACGGCCAAGTCTTACTACAGATCAGCATATTCCAAAGTTAGTCCATAATTAATAAAACTTTTTTTTTAAATTGTAATGGGTAGTTCCAGAAAATATCCGTACCATACGACGGGCTGCATTTCGGAAATCCAGAGGGAAGGGGGGGTAAGACGATTTCGGAAATCCAAAGGAGGGGGGACCTAGACAAATTATGGAAAACGAAGTTAACCGGAACTTACGTAGACCCTGTGTAGATCACGATCTAACAGTCGAAAAAATCATTATAAAAACGTTTGAAAACCACGCAAAAACATCTAAAACTATGTTAATGCAAAATACGTATATTGTCTTATTTCCGAGTCATTTTAACAAAGTTTAAATCATCCATGAGCAGTTCGCTTGCAATGATCGGCGATTGTAAATGCTTGTGGTCAGCGGTTTCTTGACAGAAATTAATGACGTCTCGGCAGTCTTGGTCGGAGATAACATTTCTTTTTTTCTAATGAGTCTAATTTGTTTGAGCATTACTTGTTAATAGATGTTAACTAGACAGAGTAAAAGATAAGAAATTCCAATATCAATGATTTTTGTGTGATTTTTAAGCACTTCCACGAAGATATGACGACGCATTGTTTTCAAACAATAAATATGATTGCGTTCTCAAAAAGAAGTGCTTATTTTCAAGAGAATAGTTATTGTCATTCATTTCCAAGGGGGTAAACTAATTTCCTAGGGGGGTAAAACACGGTTTTGGAATTCCTAAGGAGAGGGGGGATGCCCAATTTCGGAATTTCCTAAGGAGAGGGGGGGTCGAAAATCGATGCCGCCCGTTGTATGGTGCAGATATCTTCTGGAACTACCCGATTTGCTTACATAGATGATAAGCAGAATATTACATGTTCGCTTGGAGATACGTTATTTATTTTCTTGTCTTTAAAGTCTCTCACTCATTTGCTATGCTCACTTGTGAGAGACCTCTGCAACATGAAACCATAATCTGTATCATGTAATATCTTGTATTATGCAAAAGCTTACTCTGTATCATCCCAGTTTATTTCCTATTAATGAATTACAGAGGCAGACAGATTGAAACTCCAAATGAATGAAGTCACCTTTATGCAGTGTATGTGAATGATACACAACTGCATTGTGATTAGTGCAAAAGCTGAATAACAAAACATAATATTGTAAGAAAATAATTCTAGTGATATTGGGGAAGAGCCTGCATTATCTCTCCCCTGTTCTTGCAAACCTTTCATGAAGCTTCAACTGTTAGGTTGAAGTTTTCTAGTAGTAAAATATTACTACTGATAAATACATCAAATAGTGATATAATATACATTTGTAGATGATATTTAGTTCATCTTGACTTGAGTTAAACAAAAAAATTGACCCAGGCTTTATTTGAGTTTCGTAATCTCTTTTATTCTGAACTGGACTCAATTGTGTGTAAAATATGCAGAAATTTACTAGATAAAACTGCTGAGATTTTATTCTTTTCAGGCTATAACAGCGTAAAAAAAATTCAAAACTCAAAAGGGTTTATTTTGCAGCAATAGTGTAGTAGTAGATGTTAAGTGTAAATATTATTTGTGTTGTTTTTCAGCATGATAGAAGCAATTCCTGCAATAGCAACTCACCTGTCTCACAGTCATCACTTGATGATGATGATGATGATGATGATGATGTGTTTAACAATGAACAGTACAAAGTGACAATCTCTAAAAATCATCTCAAAAATGGCTTAAATCATCCTGTAGTTGTGCATGTACTAGAATGTAAGAATCCCATTGACTCCAATCAAGCCACTCTTACTGAACGGCCTGAGCTGACTAAAAATTTCACTTGTGAAGATGAGGAAATACAACTTGCACAACCTGTTACTTCAATGGATGTCAGACCAGATAACCCTTTAGATCACACAACATTGTCAGATACCAACACTAGTTTTGGTAACAATGCTGGATTTTCCAACCAGTCAAGCTTTTATGACTCACACGTTGACTTAACACTGCATGGTAGCACTTCATCTTCAAATTCTGAAAACATTGTGCACGGGCCACAGGGCTTTCCTGGCAGTATCAGCTCACGTGGTGGCTTTCCATGTCCAGGGAGCAGCACATCTTTACTGAGAACACTTTCAGAAAATGACAGTAATTTCAGTAGCAATGATGCACATGTCAGACCCCAGGGCTTTCCTGGCAGTACCAGCTCACCTGGTGGCTTTCCATGTCCAGGAAGCAGCTCATTTTTACCAAGAACACTTTCAGAAAATGACAGAAATCCTATTAGCAACGGTACACATCTAAGACCCCAGGGCTTTCCAGGTAATACCAGCACACAGGGTGGTTTTCCAAAACCGTGGAACCATCCCTTCCAAAGAACACTTTCAGAAAGTGATAATACTTGTGACAGAAATGTTGAGCAATTCAGGCCACATGGATTTCCTGATACCAACTTTCAAGGTGGCTTTCCAAGATCAAGCAGTCGTTCCTATCAGAGAACTATGTCAGAAAATGGTAGTAATGATAATGAGCAGAACAGACCACAAGGTTTTCCTGGCAGCTTGCAGGTTGGCTTCCCACGACAGACAAACCACCACTTCTTGAAGAGAGCGTTTTCTGAGAATGACAGCATGGATAATGTGGGTGGATTTCCAAGAATACAAAGACAAAACAGTCAGGATAGGTCTTGGAAGTGTATGCTAGGTATGTTAAACTGGTGTAACTGGTTCCATGTACAGTTGTAAACTTTCAGGCTCATTCAGTTAGTGACTTGATAAATAAAATGGAGTCTATGTATCTTGCAAGAATTCCCATAACCATACTTTGTCACTACACATTGCCTATTGAACATTATTTTACAATTTTAATTTAAAAACGTCAATTCATGAAACTATATAAATTGAAATATTTACATCTTGTGTTCAGAGTTCCCTGTTCAAGAGGAGAATGGAAGTAGTGATACGAATTCACGGCTCTACTTACTAAGCTTTGCTACAAACCCTTCTTCCTTGGAAAGACCTGCAGACTTAACCCTAACACAACAACTCCAAGAAGAAAAGCCCTGGTTAAGAGATGTAGTACTGAATAAAGTAAGTGATTAAATGCGTTGTGTGAAGGAAAACAAATGTTTGCTCATGTGAAATCTAAGATGGATATTCTTGGTACCGTGACTATTCATTTTGGGATTGTGTGTGATGTTTTTGTTTTAATAATCAAGTAGAATACCGTTAAACTTTGTTTGTTTTCAGCCTGTGACAGTGTTGGATCGGTTTGGTCGAATCACCAATGGCTTCATGAATTAAACCTCCTGTATGCCTTACCAAGAACTCCTCCCTATTGTTGATTCAACTATTTCTCACTACACATAACAGTGAAGTAAATAGGACCATTACAGAAGTGTAGAAAACAGGCTATTTTAAAACTTTGATTAGGAAAGAAACTCCAATATTCATTTTCTACTTGACCTTCATTGGGCGTGGACTGAGAAGAAAACAGAGACCTTCTGATAGATCTTCAGATTCTGTTTCACAATCTTGTTTTCCCTGTTTCTAATATGATTCTATTTAGCTTTTCTATTTTATTGTATGTTTGAAAGTGGTGCACTTCAGACTGGTTCGTGTTCGGGTCTAATGTCTCTCATGTTTCTGAACAACTTGAAGACCAAGGCATGTTAAGTGAATAATCTAGTCGGGTTATTTTACAAAATAAAGAGAATTTTTAACGAAATTCTTGGCTCATAGTAAGTGTTGAACCCACGCAAAGTATTCTATGAGTTCCATGCAGTGATTTTCATCGATCGTAAAAATTGTAATTGTCGTGGACTTAACACTCTCTTGTTCCCAAGCGTAGACTATCAACTACAAAGTGTACTGCAGCTAGAAAGGCACCTTTTTTACATGAAAAATGAGATAAAATTCACAACTTTTCGAAAGAGAGAAATATCGATATTTCATAGATAGTTAGAGTCATTTTCATCCGTCTGTTAAATAGGAATTGTACTATTAAGTACTATTACGAAATTCTTTTTAAGCGACTCCTTCAAAGTTCGTATATCTAATAAAACCTTTGATGTCACTTTATTATCATTTTCAATTTTCGAACGCATTTAACTCAGAAATATAATTCAAACAACTTTTTTTTCTTCAAAATAATGATAAGCATCACATTTGCATTTTGTTACAAGGGTTCATGTGCACTTATCAATGCGACAAACTAATTTAGGCAACGCAAACACGGTTTTGATTTTGCCTTTTGGTAGCCTACTACACCCTAATAGTCACTATTAGACACTGACTAGTAGTAATTGTTTCACAGACGGATGAAAATGAATCTGATATATATCGGTATTATATAGTGCTAGTCCGTATGGCCAGACATTTTATTTAAAAATGGTGCGTACGTACTCCAAGGGAACGTTCTAGAGGTAGGAAGTCCGTTTAAGCGCTCGTAGAGCTTCTAGTTTAAGTCACTATATCTATGTTTCTTTCGTTCCAAACGCGTGCTCATTCAAGACCATTTTTGATTTACGTAGCTTTTCAGGTTACATCTCGGTACATTTGTAGCGAACAACACTGAAACGTCCTTAAGACATTTCGACAAGTAGAGATTGCTAAATATCCGCTACCCAGGGATGAGATGACCTCTAAACTAACCGCGCTTTTCACGGTGGTGCTATTTTCTGCGTGACCAATGATTGAAAGGCCGTAAAATGAATTGACAACTGATTCTTTCTTAGGAACTGCACAATAATTATACCAGGAGGAGGTTGAGGCGGTCATCGTCTAAATTTATGACTAAAAGGACAACAACGCACAAGTTCTCAACCCCCTCCCCCCTCTTGATTATAAGCCTTTTTCCCATTCAGTTGTTTTAGTACACAACAGAGAACACGTAGAGAACACGAGAAATAACGAAAAAATGTTGATATTAAAATAGCTCTAGAAATTTGAATCTTCACCGATTTGAGGCTTAGCCTGAGCAAGAGTTTGAATCTTCTGGGAATACAGAATCGAACTGAAAAATGCAAATTTATAGGGCTATTGTAATGACAACATTTCTTCGCGCAGAGGCATGAGAGACTGTTGTCAACTAAAGCAGCGGTTGTTCGTAATGAACGGGGAAAAGGCGTATTATTGCACAGTCCCTAATGCCCCGTCCACAAGCTTCCACGTGTCCACCGTGACACCGTATGTTACCGTAGCCACCACAAAAATGGCAAGAATTATAACCCGCTACAACGGTTTCTTTAACCAACGGCTTTACTAGGTCACCAACCGGCTACAGCGGGATCGCCAACCCGTTACAACCGGCTATGAGTCAGCCCCCTAGAACGAGTTGGCTAACCCGCTGTAGCCGGTTGGTGACCTAGTATGGTACTACGGGTTTTTAGGTTTCTGGACCCGTTCTAGCGGGTTGACTCGCAACCGGTTGTAACTTTGGGTCAGTAACGTAACGGTTTGGTGAACCCGCTGTAGCCGAATGATGACCTATATCTAGTATAGTACTTAGCGTTTTTTAGCTTCCTGAACCCGTTCTAACGGGTTGATTCTTAATCGGTTCTAACGGGTTCTGTAACGGGTTGGCGAACCCGTTGTAACGGGTTATAACTTTTGCCATTTTTAAGCGGGTAGTATCGCCAGTATACGCTCTCCAGAACATTTCTGATGTGTCTCCGGATATGCGAGTTGAATGTGTGTTGACGCATTCGGATATATGGTATTTGTACACACGCATGCTCCGTTGAATTATGACATATCCGGAACATGTGGACGATCGTGTACGATTCGTACGTACACGGTATTTTTTTGTATCCGGAAAAAAATTCTGTAGTGTTGTGTCGAAGGGCTTAACAAGCTACAAGGCAAATTTCATAAATGGCTGGAAAATCAATTAATACTCTCTCTTGAACAAACATTGCACGTAATGTTATTTTTTGTGTATGTCTGTGTCTCGTAGTTTGTTAGGTTATCGGTTTCCGGTATATGAAATCAGCCCAGACAACTCTTTGAGTACAAGACATTATCTGTACCCCAACATGTTTGGGAATCAGGAGACAATTGGTGTCCAATCAAATCGTCCAAGTAAAGTGACGCAACAAATCTGGCTTCTCCAGGTCAATACATAGCGTTGCTGGGGCACCGCATTCCTGGGCTGACTCCTGACCGGGATTTATAAACAACGGTTAGTCAGGCTTAATGATGTATTCGACTCTTCTTGTCTCAGCGATGATATTTAATTTACTGGTAAGTAATTATTACATGGATGTAGATTGATGAGTTGTTCTAGAACACATTTGTGGTATGTACTGTGAAGTCGTTCATTCATCGAGCTGTAGCGGGGTGATCGCACGTGCCCTCGTGAAGATCTGCTACAGCCTATCATGTGAATTATAAAAATCATTCGCTAACAAACCGTTATAGTATTGAGTTTCACAAGGATGTTTTACGAAGAAGACAAGATATAAGGTTTATCTGTCATAAACAATATATTTATTTGTAACGACGGTCTAATGATGTATGGTGTAATGTGCATATTTAGTCAGAAATTATCTTGTCTGTATTTCCCATGGCTGTACTTAACATCACCCAACTCTGCAAAGTTCAAATGAAACATTATATTGTGAGTTATGGCCGTTACAAACATACACTATGTTTGTTGACTTTTGATACATGAATGTTTGCTCGGTGATTAAACAGCGGGACCCGTTGGGGGAGGTCACGGGGGAGTTACTGCCTTGGTGTATTCTTTGGCGAGAAGCGGTTGTTTTCTGCGCACTTTGTCTCTGAACCAATGTCATATAAAGTGTTGTCAGGATGTTTGAAGTAAAAGGAAAGCTCAAACTATTTCATTTTATCAAATCGGTTGAAGTCATAAGCGTAATTTTTGCTTTTAGGCAAAATTATAAAAAAAAGAGATATTTATTTATTGAAATACGAAAGAGATTTATCTCTCTCATCGATCACTATAGCAACAAGGATTTGTATATAAAGCAGATTGATCGCTTTCTTGCTTGGTTCTTTATGATAATCATCCATTATTCCCCGTATTATTGACGGAATTGTTGTTTATCAACAAAACTTTGTTAAAAACAAACAAAAGGATGTAATTTTTTTTTATAATCCTTAGTTTGAAAACTGTGCTCTAAAATGTCTGACATGAATCATATGCAGATCCAATATCGTAGATAGCCTTTCAAATAACCTCAAGCTTCTAGATTTTTTTCGAAACTTTGAACGTTAATATTTTGGACACTTCAGTAGTACTAATTTAAAATTATTTATTGGGGATTGGGATTTGCCTTTTTTGAGGCTGGAAATTAGGAATTGTCCATTGGGATTTGTTGAAAAAAATTGGGAATGGGATTTATCTTCTTGTCCATTCAATATCTCTTTTAATGCTAAAACAATGTCTCAGATAAGTAATTTGTAACATTTTACTCCGTTTTAGTAAACTAAAATAGAAAATGAACTCGCGACAAAAAATACTCTGTTTTCCAAAATAACAGCCAAAAGTGAGGCATTCTACACTGTCAACGTTACCTTCTCTGTAAAATCCTACTGTTTTCTATAAATTTAATGCGACTCGATTGGGTAATGACTTTGACGACGCATAGTCCATGTTTGATCGCTAAATGCATCTCGCCAATATTATCAATGTCCAAGAAAATTTTCATACCAAAAATAGATAAAGATGAAAGTTTCTTCATTTTAGGGCGTAAAACAAACTTTTTATGAACCAAAGTAGATTGATCGTAAATTTCAAGTGTATTGTATTCACTTGTTTCCTCGAGTTTAAAGAAATGTATGATCGAGCGTTTTTTGAATTAGGCGAGTTTGAATTTTTATGCGGCCAAAAAATGCGTTTTTACAAACATTTACTTGAATACCTTAAGTGAATAAAGGTCACAAAGCTTTGTGCGAGCTCATTTTATTAGTGTTCTTCAGATTTAGCCTTTGTCGTATCTTTTCAATTAAGTTCGCTGCAGCTCTTCATAGCTCAAAGGCCAGTTGCAAATAAAGATATTCTTTTTTGACCCAGGATCCTTTTCCCGATGTTCCCAAAAACGCCTGCGGCAACAACCTGCCAACATGGGCCACCTAAGAGCATACTCGTTTCCGCCAAAGAGCGCGTTTCCTGATTGGTTGAAATTAAGCGCTGTGTGATCATGCTTATTCTCTCGTAGGTCACTACGTCTGGTACACATGGAGTGTTTGAAGTCAAATTCATTAAATTTGAAAATCCAACAGGACGTGATTTCAATGGAGGATATTGCGATACTTTTAATGATTGTGACACATATCTCCAGATTTGTATTGGGTCTCCACGTCCTCCAATGTCATCCACGTGCACAGCAAATTTTAAACAGTATGAAGCCCCGAGTAACACAAACTCTTTTGATATAAACACCGAACCATACAGTTTCCAGTTTTCAAAACTGCAGGCAAGTACTTTGATGTCGTTCCGTACTAGCACTAGTAGCAAGGTTATAGCGAAGAGTTTCTTACAATTGACTATTCTTAAATTTCCAGTACAGGCGGGAATAGCCTCGTTCCTAGGATAGGAAACAAGAGAATAAATAATCAACTATTTCTTGCTGTACTGGAATTATAAGAATAGTGAATTCTCAACCAATCATGATTTCTACATGACTACCGACAAAAATATAAAAACCTGCAAGTTCCTTCCCATGCCAACTTGCAAAACTAATGCTATAAAAACAATCACGCCTGTCCCTCATGCAACATCAAACATAAATTGTACAATGGCATATCCATTTATAATATAAAAGCGGTTCAATATGACTTTGCGCTCTCGAAGGCTTTTCTCAAAGTTTCTTTATCTATTTTGTTAGAAAGATTTTGGTACGTACGTAGAAGCATGGGATGACGATACAAAACCTAATAAAGACGACAAAATCGATACATTTTGGTTTGACTTTCAAAACCAACCCTCAGCAAATGGAAGCATACCAAATTGGACTACTAARTCACAAAAAGGCAGACGAACAAAATCAACTAAATGCACATTGTATTACAAATTTCGCATCTACTGTTCAACGCACTACTATGGTAAGACATGTGATAAGTACTGCAAATACACGGACTCGTTCAGGAATGGGCACTATAGCTGTGACAGCACTGGTGAAAAAATATGTCATCCCAACTGGTATGGACAGAACTGTACTGTGTATTGTAAGCCAAC